GTCTAAAATGCAATGACTTTTGAAATGACGTGTTTATGCAAAAGTTATGGCCACATTACAGACTAATAAAACAGACAGATAAATAATCACAAGTGCAATGTTTACGATATCTGACCTCGATTCCTGCTCTTACTACAGGCGTGACAAACTCCGGGAGAAGTCCTACCTTGCTGAGTTTGAACAGGGAGTCCTGGCCGAGGCCACCAGCCTCCTTGAAGAAGTCGTGGGCAGGGAAAGTGCGGTGGATGTCACGTGCAATCACCTGCTCGCACGGCGAGTCCTGCCAGCCGGGGGAGAACACGTGTTAAAACACACCGCGCGTCGAAAAACACGCGTGCTGCGTTCGGAGAACCGACATCACGTCGAGAGAACACGTGCAACAACGTGACAAACACATGTGTTGCATTCGGCGCCTACAGGCCTTAACACGAGAAGGTGTGTGTAATGAGGCAAGTGTCAATGAAACGCGCTGCCAAAGAAAGCAAGTACAGAAAAACTTGAATCGATTTCTTTACTAAATAATAATTAAATAATAATTTAGAACCATTTTTCCTCCCGCACACGCCAACTCCCGGAAATCATCGATAAAATGCACGTCGAAATTCAGAAAGCTTGCGTAATTGCCATCGTAACGAAGCAGATTCTTTGATGAATCAAAGAAGCGCGCGTCAAAAAATCGGACGTGTCCTTCGCGGACTCAAACCGCGCACCCGCAGACGGTAACCATGACGACGACGACGACTCACTCACGTTGGTGATGAGGATGCGGTAGGACTCGAACATCTCCTGCTCCTCGTCGTGCGTGCATCCGGCGAGTAGCTGCCACACCTCGCCTCTCAACGCCTCCGGAATACCTGCCGACAGCACAACCGCCACTGTATCCTCCGCCACGCACACAGGAAGAAATTATGCAGAGGATGACCTCTGCTGAGACATTGCAACCACTGCTGCTGGCAGCTGATACAGCCGATACAACATCCTACGGTATAATACAGGCTTCCATACAACAGTGGGAACTGGATGGAAAGATTTCTCTAGAGGATATATCGACCATATATCTAGATCTAGGTTTGATGAGAGAACTATCAGCTGTGATCGCACACACACAATCACGCATGCACTCAGTTCAATACTCTGTGGGTAACCGACATAGTTAACGTTCGCGTTGGTACCACCGCACGGTAAAAACAACTGGCGCATCAGGGTCGTGGCCACCGCACGGTGGCGCCCCCTTACCTCGTCGCACGAGTGCCGTAAGCTTGCTCGGCCGCTGCTTCAGATTCTGGTGCCACCTGCTGAGAACTTCGGCCCAGTCCTCCAGCTCACCTTCCGTGCAGTCCTTGCTGACGTCACCCGAGCCACTCATCAACGGCTCGTCAGCATCTGTGTGAGAAGACGCTCGTTAGCAAATGAAGTGTTAATGAGTAGAAGGATGGAAAGCTGCTTGGCATATAACAGGCGCTGTTAGTCTCCTGCCGTATGTAGCATAAGTATTCATAGTGCTGTCATTCACACATGAAATCAAACTCCCCCTCCCTCGCTCTTTCTCTCTCTCTCTCTCTCTCTCTCGCTCTCTCGCTCTCTCTCGCTCTCTCTTTCTCTCTCTGCCTTCGCCCTCTCTCTTTCGCTCTCTGATGCTTCCTCTCTATCTCCATCCTCCCCACTCTTTCTCTCTCCCCCTTCTCTCTCTCACTCACTCACTCACTCTTCCTCCATCCTTTCCTTACCCAATCGCCCAGCAACTCACCATCTCGCCTCACCAGCGGCGCCCTCTACCACACTCATGTGCCAACATGCTCGCTACCTACCAGAATCATCGTCGTTGTCTCCCAGCGTCGACATGGACCCTGTGCTGGCGGACGTGGCCGGTGGGTGCGGCGTCGAGAGCGGCAGCATCGACTTGCGTCGCTCGATGTCCGTCGCGCTCTCTATGCTGACGACGAGGTATGTGTGCTGCTCGCCGCTACCACCGCTGTTCTCATCCTGCCATAGACACACACACACACAGAGTGAGGAGTGAGCGAGATGTGTGAGATACTGAGAGAGCGGTAGGGAAGCGAGAGAGAGAGAAAGACAAAAAAAGCGAGAAAAAGAAAGAAAGAGCGAGACAGAGGAGAACAGAGCAAAAGAGTGAACAAGAGAACGAGTAAGAGAGTGAGAAAGAGAGAGAAAGAGAGAGAAGACAAGAGAGCGAGTGACAGAGAGAGAGAAAACAGAGAGAGAGGAAGAGAGAGAGAACAAGAGAGCGAGAGCGAAAAAGCGAGAGAGAGGGAGAGGGGGAGCATCATACCTCCTTCAGCTTCAGAAAGAATTGCTCGGTGAGGCTGCGCTTGGCGTAGTACCAGAAGCGCTCGTTCTGTGGAAAGATCTTCGCCTTCGTCTCGACGATGAACCGCACCGGCTCCTGAATGCCAACGATGACCAAGTCTACAGCCACGGTCATGAAGACACGCGTGTCTGCAACACACAGCACCAGAGCGAGTAAATGTAGCGAAACAAGAGGCCTGGGTTAGCAATACGTGCCTGCAACATGCCACCAGGGGTAGTATGGGTAGTGAAACAAGAGGCCTGTGTTAACAATACGTGTCTGCAACATACCACCAGGGGTCGTATGGGTAGTGAAACAAGAGGCCTTGGTTAACAATACGTGTCTGCAACATGCCACCATGGGTGGTTTAGGTAGTGAAACATGAGCCTGGAATTAGCACTGCACATTTTCATTCTACTGGATTAGCTGAGGTAAAAGTATAAAGGTAGTTGATATAAAGGTAGTTGCTATTGACACAATAAATGTCTAGTACGTGGTAGCTTTGTAAGGTTTGTTACACTTTTGCTATTTGTCAAAAAGCAATCAAGAGCAGACAGATTCCCTGCTCGACTTATTCCTACAACAATGGAAAAGGATGACGGCAAACAGCAAATCGTTCAAGCTTGCCCCCATGTCACGCGGGTCGCCCCATAAATTGAATTCTCCTTAATGGCCCTTCTCCAGAGCTTTGCACCGCGCGTACACAGCATTGCGTGTATTTACTCTCGCACACACGCTCTCGCCCACGGTAGGCTAGATGCGACTTTAAACATTAACGACTGTGCATCGAGCTGTCAATAACAGCTGAGCGGCGAGCGTACACGAAGGCCATCGCAACGGGGCTGAGCTATACACAGTGTGGGAGATTCAGGCTAGGGCTATACACAGTGTGTGGGATTCAGGCGTGTGCTTCACAAAGTGTGGGACCCAGGTTAGGGTTTCACACAGCATTCACACATCATGATGAGCTTTAGGCTAGGCTGTTATATAGCCTGAGCTTCACACAGCCTAAGGTTAAGGCTAGAGCCTTAGGCAGAGGCTTCAAACAGTGTATGATCCATGCTCGGGTTTTGCAGTCCGAGTTTCACACAGCCTGGGCTTCAGGCGAAGGCTTAACACAGCCTGGACTTCACACAACGGCGCCTGGCTGATGGATCAATAACAATTAGGCTGGCACGGGCTGGCTGCCGAAGGGGTCGGCATTTAGAGTGTCGGCAGCCAAAGTTAGGCTGTATTTGAACCGCGAGCTTTATCGTCCCTGTACACACGCTATAGCTTAGTAAGCCCTTACAAAGACTATGCTGCGGAAGGTTTACCTGGTTATATTACACATTAGAACGTATTAGTACTGTAGGGTTACACCAAGGTTAGAAATGTACCAGCAGTGTAGGGTTATACCATGATACATTGAACAAATACTGTAGGTTTACACCATGATACACTGACTGAACTAGTACGGTAGGTTACAGCATGATACACTGTACTGATACTGTAGTTTCACTACAATCACACTGTACCAGTACTGTAGAGTTATACAACGGTCGCACTGTACCACCACTGCAGGGTTACATCATGATTACACTGTACCAGTACCGTCGGTTTTCAAAACAATCACACTATCTTCTTCTTCTCGGGTCACTACACTACACTCGACCTAGCCACTGCAGCGCACAGGACCTTGCACGGTGGTTGAAAACCTCAAGATCTCCAGGTCTACAGGGCTCTGGTAATAGGGGGCATTCCATATACCACTACATTATACAATCACATTATCCCTACACTGTAGGTCAGCGGTGGACCTGATCCCACTGAGCTCGAGGTCGGGGGGGTCGAGGCCTAGAGGCGTGGCGACATCAATACACGTACCTTTCGACGTCTCTGTGTTGAGGACGTCGAACGCGTGGTCGGCCGGGTTCCACACGCCAGAGATGACGTACTGTTTGCCCTCGGCCGCCGTGCCCATCGCCACCTGCGAGTGAGAGACGTGACCCGTTACTACGCGAGACGCAATCATCGAACAATGGCGGCATCCCTCGCGTGCGCGCCGTTATTTGGCGTTAACCGCCAAACGCACATGGGGCGGCCGAGACACGTCGAGACGCGTTGAAGCGTGAGACACGTCGCGACCTGGCGAGCTGCCGTCAGCTCGGCAGGTCGCGACGCGTCTCCCGTGAGACGCGTCGCGACCTGCCGAGCTGCCGTGAGACGCGTCGCGACCTGCCGAGCTGCCGTGAGACGCGTCGCGACCTGCCGAGCTGCCGTGAGACGCGTCGCGACCTGCCGAGCTGCCGTGAGACGTGTCGCGACCTGCCGAGCTGCCGTGAGACGCGTCGCGACCTGCCGAGCTGCCGTGAGACGTGCCGAGGCATGCCGAGACGCGACGAGACAAATGCGAGACGAGGCGCATCTCATGTTCTGCTGCACTCACCATGTCAAGTAGATGCATGTCGCTGTTCTTCACGTTCCTTCCCGGGCTGATCAACAGTCCGAAACACCTGCAACACACAACGCGCGTGCGGTCAGTCAGTGTGGCCGCCGGTCAGTCAGTATGGTCACTCTCAGTCACCACCAGGCCTCACCATTGACCACTACCAGGCTTCACCCGTCGATCAAAACCAGACTTCACACCTCGATCACAAGCAAATCTCACTCCTCAGCACCAGGCCTCACCCATCGATCGCCACCAGGCCTCACCCATCGATCGCCACCAGGCCTCACCCATCGATCGCCACCAGGCCTCACCTCTCGATCACCACCAGGCCTCACCCATCGATCGCCACCAGGCCTCACCCTTCAATCGCCACCAGGCCTCACCTCTCGATCACCAGCTCTCTGAACCCCGCCGTCTGCTGCACAGACAGCACGAGCTTCTTCTCTAGGTTGCGTCTCAGCTTGAAGCAGCTCTTGTCCTTCGGGCACACCGCGTAGCTGCCTTTCCCGTCCTCCTCCTTCACCTCCAACGACACCTCAAACTTGAAGAGTGGGTCGCCGGGCGAGTAGGTGGGGCCACTAGAGGGCAAGCGCGGCACGCGACGGAATGCGTTCGCAAACGACATCAGCACCTTGCCGACCTGCGCGAGGGGTCGAAAGACGGGAGTCACAACGCAACGGTGATAAATACTACCATTAACTACTGATATTACTAACGTAATACCTACTCAATCATTCACCGATGTGAATTATATCACACTTAATGGACAGGTTACGTTTCCATGTCGCATCCGCCAAACGAAACATTCGGTAAACAAGATCATTATAACAGATAGCTTGTAGAGATGCTCTGTGTTGTGTGAGATAGAGGTTGATAGGCTACACAGCTGGGTGCAGAAATTATCGTTAGTCCTTTCTTACTGATGTTCAATTGATTTTATTGTGGAACGTCACTATACTTGCTATTACGCAGTATTTATTAAATGAACATATAATAATAAATCAATATAAAATCATATGATAGATAAATATTGTTCCTTGGCTGTTAAGTTAACATCTCCTCAATGAATCGTTCGTAAACAAAGTATGACAGCAGTATGATCTAAAAAAATATCTACTGCTGCAAGGGGGGGCCCCGATCTTCAAACATGGAGGCTTTCCAGGAGAATGACATTCCCTTGTTTATATATATATATATATATATATATATATATATATATATATATATATAGTACACGTACTAACGACGTACGAGTCGTAGGTACGTACGTATAACGTAAGTAATAAGTAAGTAACGTAACCGTAACCGTACGTAACCGTAC